CTTGAGTTTAAAAGTAGAAATCATGTAAACACACAGGAAGTATAAATTAAAACTAATTGTAATCACAAATATAAAAACTTATTTCAAATCCTCTCCACAAAAATCTTGAAATCCCTTTGAATATCTTCTCTTCCTTTCTCTTACAATGCTCTCTACTCACACACTACAACTCATTTTTTTCTTCTCTCTAAAAGTATACTAATTAATCTAAAGAAGTCTCAAAGAGAGGGGCCGACGGTGGCGTTTGAAGAGTCTCTTTAGAGCGTCTTTCCATTCAGTCCAAGTTTTCTTTTATAATTTTCCAAAATGTGTTTTGGTGCCTCTTCAAAAATGTGTCCACATTCAATGAATCTTCCCAGATTTGCCCCCTTTCAATAGTCATTTGAATATATTTTCGTGTCCATTAACCATAAACCACGTTTTCACCAAGAGTTGCTTCAAACACCCCTTCAAAAACTACATCTGGCACGTAAGCGTGAGGTACTTGGCGCTTAGGCGCGACCTTCTCGTTTTTCCTGGCGCTTAAGCGCTAGTTCTGAGTGCTTTGTCGCCATAGTTCATTTGCACACCTTCTTTATTTTTGCTCCAAATTTGATCATTTTCACTCATTTCACCATTTTTTATCCATTTGATTGTGTCTGAAAAAAAACACACAAATACCTTCCATTAAAGCCGAAATTTCCAAAATGTGTACATAAATACTATATATTTTAGGTATATCACATACCTATTCTTTACCCTCGAATACAGGCATATAAACCATTTACTAATACACAGTTATATTCCTAAATCATTGGTTAGGTTGAGAATATAACAGCTCTCACTCTAGAGTTCTGACGATCTCTCCGCTTAGAGGCTAACTTTTGCCTTAGATTCCAAACATCTGAATCAAATTAGAGGTTCTAATCAGTCACTTTAGAATTATTAATTTATGTCCATCAAAATTTATTTCTCTATTTATGTGCACTCAAACCCATGAACTACATTCTCATTCATGAAATCAAATGTGGTTCCACTTTGTTGAGAATTACACCGCCCTCTCGGATCTTAATGCAATTACAATGAATTTAACACTACAACATGCCCTTATTGTAATGTAAATGAAGTTCAAGTAACAACCATCACATTGATAATCAAAAACCTATTCTAACATGCATCCTAAAATCCTAAATTTGAATCCTACTCGTTGCAAAAGAAAAGTAAAAGGAAAACAACGACATAACCTACTCATGCCACTATTTCCTAACAAAAAGAAAGAATAAGAACCACTACTCACATAGCAATAAAGAAAACAAAATGAAAAACTTCATTACATCAAAGCAAATCTACTGGATAAGGGTTTATAAAAATCATAAGATAATGAAGAACACAATACTTAGCTTTTTTCCCTTGAAAGAAAGATGAAGATCTCTCCAACAAAGTTTCCTATTGATCCATGTAATGCTAATACAATTTCTTACAGATTCTCTCAAAATTCACTCTCAAATTTCTCCAAAAAAGGTAGAAATCTATATTCATACTCCTATTCTAAGATTTCCAAGCATTTCTAAGGTTTCCTGGACTTCCCAGAGCTAATAAATGTGAAAAACTATGAAAAGCTGCCAAGAGATGTGTCCTCAAGCTCACAAAATCGTCTTATAACACTTCAGGGCCGTTTGTAGCTGTTCGTAACCGTTTCTGATGTCTAGACGCCTGAAACTGGCGCCTAGGTGCCGGTTAAAAAATTATATCTGCTTAAAATGGCTTCATATCACTCCATTTTGACCCGTTTTGCTCCAAATTGCTCCAAGTGTCATATTTGCTCCATTTTCGCCTCTTTTTGCTCCAATTTGCTTTGATTTGCTCCAAGTGTCCTATTTGTTGTATCTACAAGAAAATTAGAAAATACTTTTCGTTAAAGCACAATATCACAAAAAATGAGTCTTAAATATATATAAAAAGTAGTCATTTCTTAGGTATATCACCCCCGAACGATGATGATGTCATATTTGTTAGGAAACTTCACTGCTACATAATTCGTTGAGACCACAAATTTATAGTCATTAAGCAAGGGTCAACTAAAGATGGCGTTGTAGGTTGGTGGTGAATCTATCACCTTGAATTCCTCCATATAGTTTAATTGACTTTTACATTCTCTCAAAGTTATTGGTTGTGCAATTACTCACAGGGTCACCTTCCACTCACAAGAGAAGCCATAAAACGGGCCGGCCGGTGTCATCAGCCAGTTGGTTTTGAGGTTCATATTAACGAACACTGACTTGAATAGGATATTCACAGAGTTGCCAGGGTCAACTAAAATACTAACTACAAGTAGTTTCTTATCATCGCTGTAACAACAATGACATCATTATAAGGATTCCTCTTTGACGGAAAGTCTATGTCGGTGAAAGTGATAGGTAGATGACTGTCGTGCTTCAGGGTGAAAGCAACTGCACACAGGTATCCCGACCAGAGCCTTTCTAACTAGCTCACCGAGATGAATCTCCACCTTCTACAAAACTATCAGATACCATCCCAACAATGTAAGTACATTTGCTCAGACGGGCTCATTTAGAATTTCTTCAATTGGAGTATTCCTCTGCTTTTGGGTCGTTGCTCATAGAGCTGCACAATACTTAAGCATTATGTCTCTTATCAACTCATCGACTAGGCTCCGTAGATGTCTACATTCCTACGTGTCTTGACCATGGCCTTTGTAGCAAGAACAATACAACTTTGCACCTCAGAGAAAATCTTCAACTCTCATTGATGGTGTCTTCTTGAAGTGCTCCTTATTTTGGATCACCTCTACTATGTCATTGAGACTCTCAGTAGAGTGACCTTTGTTACCTCATGGCCATTCAATGGTCGCTCATGGTAATGATCAAATCATTATTTATTTATGAAAATGAGGGATAAATAAATGAACACACTCATTTTGACCCTATGTAATTGCAGAAATCCATGCAAAATTTTCTGCGAATTTTTAGGCACCAAGGAGCTAACTACATCACAAATTTTCTCGACCGGTTGTGCTCTGAAACCAGCCGCGCTCATCATTTTCCAGCCCCCATAAAATCCATCACGTGACCGTCGCAGATTATAATAGAATGCCACAGAAATTCCCTTTCTATCTCTCTCTCCTCTCACCACCACCACGCCAAACGACAATGGAAGCCCGATCCGCCACAATCGGGAAAGATGCAGGGGGAGAAGCGAGCGCTTCTTAACTTTTAGCCCCACTGCAGACAGGTCAGTCGGCGCAGCAGGAGCAGAATAGAATTCTGAGCGAGGGAGCCCTAGAGAGAGGAAATAGGAATAGAAGACGATCGAGCCACCCATTCCATCAGCCCAGAATTTCCATTTTTCCATATCGATCTCTCACCATTCACTTTTTCTACCCTCCTACCAGATCTCCGCTAAAAATCAAACAAAACCACCAACTTTTTTTTTTCGAATGATTTCACACAAGAGATAGTATATAAAGCGGGGGTGAACCGGCGTGGTGGCTCCTGAAAAGCGATTCCCATTGGAAAACGGAGAGTGGGCGTCATCCTTCGCCTCCGTGAGTGTGGAAGATATCTGTCTTGGTTTCAATGCCGGAGGAGGCGCCGGAGGAGGCGCCGGAGGAGCGGGATTATGGGCCACGAGATCGTCGGCTGCAGGTCGACAAACACTCAATTACGGCATAGCGGAGATGGTTGGTCTTCGCGACGTGTACGTAGTAGCACCCGCCGCATCCTTCCACCCACCGGCGGCGTACCACGAACAGTTCCTCCCTAGCGCCGAAGCCCACTCGATCATCCCTCTTCTAACCGCTTCACCCTACCTCGCTGATGACGATTCCCGCTCCTCCATGATCCATCTCTGGCAATCCCACCCGCTCCCTTCCCTTCAAGCCCCTGCGCTGCCCCAAAACCCTAACCCTAGTCCCTCACCGGAACTGGAATCCCCCGACATCCTCTTCGTTACTGGGGGATCTTCCACTTGCCAAGACTGCGGGAACCAGGCCAAGAAGGATTGCAGCCACCGTCGATGCCGCACGTGCTGCAAAAACCGCGGATACGATTGTTCGACACACATTAAAAGCACATGGGTCCCAGCTGCCCGCCGCCGCGAGCGACATCTCACCGCTTCCGATTCCGCAGCCGCAGTTGCGGTTTCTTCCTCCGGTATCATCTCAGCTCTAAAGAAGCCCCGTCTTCTATCTTTTCAGACAACCACCACCTCCCACGAATACAACTCCGGCACTCTCCCTCTTAGCTCCGAAACCGGCTCAAGCCACCAGGGTGACTACCTCTT